TCTTTGCCTTTGTTTCAGTGAAATAAAGATGAATAACTTTTATGTTGTTTAGTCTGGTCTTAAATGTTCAATAATTGATTTTAAACAGTTTATACAATAATATATAAATTTGTTGTATAAATTCAAAATGATATAGCACTATAGAGAGTAAAAAGTTATTTTTTCCTGATGCTTCTTAACCTATCCTAGGTAGGACAGCCCACTAACCACAGATTGGTTATGTGTCCTCTTAGAGTACTTTCTCTAACATTCCATGTACACCTGATAAGCAATATTTTATATTTTACCATTCATAATATCAATTTTTAAGCATGGATGCCAAATGTAGCAACAATGTAATATTTTATCACTAATGAGACTATAAAAATGAATTGCTTCTTAATAGTGTTTCTTATAGGTCTTCCTATAGTACTGTGTATCTATTTCAGTAGTTGACCTTTTAATCTCAAGAAAGAGAATGTTTGTAGGAAACAGTTTCATCAAAATATTATGAAATGATAAGCAAGTATAACAATTCCAATAGCAACCAGTAATCTCAAAACAAAAAGGTTTTGTTGTTTTATTCTTGGTGTTGGCAAGATCTTTGTTTTTAAACATCACAAACAATTTAGAATAATTTATTCTATTTTTCCCTTATGATTTTATTAATGAACCTATCAAATAATATGATAAAATTTCAGAATAAGAAGTCATTCAGTGGACCAATTAGGATGGTCATATATTTCAGACCCTTTTTAATAGACCAAGAAGTTGAACTCTAGAATTAATTGATTTTTTTTCAAAGTTGGTAGAAAAATTATGACTAGTGTCTATATGCTTGTAAACACCAAGATTCCTCCACTACACTATGCACTGTGTCTGAAATAATATTTTAAAGGAGATTGATAGAGTATATTTTTCACAGCCACTAGTTTTACCAAATGAATGAAAACTGAGTAGACAAAAGAATTTTAGGAATCTAAATAGTTTGTTTTTATATTTTCTGCTAATTATAGATATATAGTGAAGCAGCACATTTGCATAATCAAGTTTTATATTGGTGCCAAATAGTAGGTTATTCTTAGCCATCTCTGTGGAATGATAGATTACAGGAACAAGAACATCAGCCATCATTAAGTCTAATATCATAATATTTACCTGAAGAAACATAATTTAATTAAGATTAGTAACATTTTTGAATCCTTATAAACTATTTTTTAGAGGAAAACTTGCAAAAAAAATTTGAGATAAAAATCACATCAGAACTTCAGTTTTCCAAAAATAGTTTTCTAGCGACATCTGCTGGTATGATGTTGTAATAAAGATGAAAGCTCATGGAAGTAATTTCATAGAAATTAACCATGGGAGAAAAAAATCTTGTGGGCAGAACTTTTTCTTTTATTGTCATTTACACTTCTAATTTGTAATTTTACAAGAGTAGTGTTCTGATAATGATAACATTAAGTTTCTTTATCCTTTCCTGTGCATGGTATGTAATTCCAACTTGAACTTCTATAATTAGCTGTGTATTGATTGTTTGATGTAATGCTGCAAACCCTTCTTGTCTTTCCTGGCTCTGTTTTATGTTAAATTTTTCCTTAGCACAGAACCTTGTAGAAATAGAGATTCAGTAAGTATGGATTTAATTATAGTAGTTATTTTATGTTATTTGCATAGACTAAATAGAAAAGTCTGTGTATATGAGTAAAGTGCATTATCTTCATGCACACTTGAAAATAAAAATGAGACTTTATAGTCAAGGGTGATTTAATTAGGAGAAATGGATTTTTGTTTTTCTTCTAGAAAAGAGTTTTTCATAGGTTATAGAGGAATATAATATATTTATTCTTTGAATATTTATCTATATTGATTTCCTATATGGCTATATCTAGTCTCGTTGATTTAAGAACTACACATAACTGAATCAGATGAGTATAACCAGCTGTTTTCTTCCTTTACATTCTCATTTAAGTAACTAAGACACATCTCAAATTTAACACTTTTATTTTCTTCTTGAATCAATTATTCCTAACTTCAGTCAATGATCATTTTAATCCTTCTGTTCACTCAGACCAAAGACATGTTAATAATTTCTAAATTATATTTTTCTTTTACCTCACATTCAAAATATTTAGAATTTATGCCAGTTCTTATTTTTGAAATACATTTGGATTCTTATCATATCTCTAACCTACCTCTAACCATAATTACTTTTTCCTGACTAGCCTCCTTGCTTCTTATCTTGCCTTCCTATATTTTCCATTCAGCAGCCAACATGATTTTCTTAAAATTTAAAGCAGAGCTTATCATCTTCTGTCCTGAGAAGCTTCCAAAGGCCTTCCCATGTCTAAAGGGGCCTACCTGCATTGTAGACCACTTCTTCCCTCTACTTCTGTTACTGTAACCTCATTTTATACCACTTCTCATCATGATACAAATGTACTTGCTATTGCTTCAAACTGAAATGCCTTCCCTTAATTCCTTAAGGTTTCTGATCAGATTATCAAATTTTACTTTCTTAGAGAGATTCTCCTTGTCTATACAATGCAAAATAAGAAAGCCAGACTCCATTACTATTTCCCCTCTCATCCTACAGGGTTGTTTGTTTGTTTGTTTTCATAGCCATTTTCATGATATGACTTACTTTTTTTTGTTGTATATCTATGTCAACTATGTCAGTTGTATGAAAGCAGGGATGCTCTCTTGTTCACTGTTACATAGAACAGAAACCAGTGCTTGAACACAGTAGGCATTTAGTTAATATTTGTTAAATAAGTGAGCATTAATACTTAAGTGGAGAAGGTGATTTGATTTACATTATAATAACCAAGTTCATAGAAAAGCAGGGAACCTTCCAATAGGGTTTGCTTTGTTTAAATCTTTATGTTTATATCACATTTTCTACATTTAATACAGATTGCAATAGTGTTGCATAGTTAGGTTAAAGCTCAGACAGTATTCCTGACGTCATAGTGTTGAGCCATATTACTATCTAAAGATTCTTTTTATGGGAATAATTACTTTTTTGTTCATTTGACATAGACATCTGACCCTCAATTACATTAACAAACCTTATACACATGAATGGAAAGAAGAATAGCTCCTTTTGAATCCATGTTAAGACTTTATCAATATGAAGTGCTTCCCACAGGGTTCTACTGAAAGAACCAAACTTCCATCATAATGAAATTGCAAATTCACTTGTATATGCTCCTTTTATACTTGAAAGCTACTTTTTGATGTTTTGGTCTGCAATTAAATTTATTGTTGAGGGTCACAAATATGCAATGCTGACTAGACCAAGTTGTCAGAATCTTTTATCTATTCAGCATTGCACAAAGATAAATGGCTATCTTTCAACAATAACATACCAAAGCCAAAATTTGTTCCCAGATGTACATAATCTTTTAATCAATCTACTGCTTTCTTTTTTGCAGTCAATAGGCTCCTAGCCTACTCCCTTACCACACCACTTCACTAGATTATGGGTTTTAAATTACTGTGAAACACTTTCTTCAGATGGAAATAGATAAGTTTAAGAATTTTAATGCTATAATTTCCCTATGCACATTTTTAGCTTAACATATGAATTATTTTGTCTTTTCTTCCATTCTGTATAGGGTGGATAATTCTGTAGTGTGTTACTTAAATTCAGTGGTTACATTTCTCATCATTAGCCTGACCATAAAGTAGGATCATGTCATTAATTGAAATGCATCCTAAAGTGTTTTTAAACATCTCTGTGCACATTGATTAAATTGTTTTCTGAGATTCTTTATCATCTTCAATAATAGTATATATATTTGAAATGAAGATAGATTTCCTTTATGTTGGGCATTTCTTTGGTGGCATTTTTCATTCAAAAGACACATAGAAAAAGTTGCCTGATTTGAGGTTGTTCTTTTTATCCAAAATATCTGTCTAATATTAATATTTATTAGAATTTTATTTTATCACCAATCTATGGATTTTTTTAAGGAATTTTGACTATAAATTCCTAGTGGCCCTTTAAAGTGATTATATCATGGTTTATTTGTAGGTATAATCACCTTAGATAAAGGGTCTTAGAGTATTAGTGTCTACTTTATGATATCGTTTAAATAGTTTTTGAAAACCTGAGTCTGTCTCTCTCTCTTTTTTCCCTTAATTATCATGTAGTTTGTATCTTCCCCAATTAAAGACAATTTTTTTAGTAGGATGGATAGGAGAAAAACATGTTTTAAGTCAGATCAACTTTTTCCTCCACCATAAATTCTGCTATTAATTTTTTGTTCTCTAGGAAGTTAATGCATTATTTTGAATCCCATGCAGATATGGAATAGAAGAAAACCTTTTCACAGAATTGTGATGTGTTTAAATGAGACAACACATATCAAGGGCCCAAAACAGTGCCTGGCAATAATAAACACTCAATAAATATTATTTGGAATTCTCCCTTTCTGCCTGCCTCCACCCACGCCCACTCCCCATGCTTTCTGGGCATGCCAACTCTGTTGTTTTGCATTCATCAAATTAATAAGAAAAGTCAGGACCTCAAATTGACATATATGTAACACCATGCAAGTGTATGTGGCCTTTTTCTTCATGGCAAATTAGTCTCCCAGAGACTAGGTAGAATGAAGAATGCTCCGCTCCCATCCCTATTTTAAGACCAGGTGGAGCTCTTAGAAGATGACTTTAGCCTTTCTTCAGCCACCAGATCTGAGAATTGAGCTGCAAGTTACGTTAATATGACATACAAAAGTATTATCATATTAATCATTTTTGTGTAAAGTGATTTGCTTTATTGCTTATTGCTTTTTTGACCATTTGTAATGCTCAGGTCATTAACCCTGAATTTTACCTTTTAAAACAGGATTTTAAAACATGAAGCTGCACTGTTTAAAAAATATTTTAAATGTTTTTAAGATGATTTTTAAGATGATACTATAATTCTTTACAGAAAATTATTTAATTGCTATTTAATATACCACTTTGTATACCAAAACATGCTATTTTATGATTGTAAATTTTTGTTTCAGGTGCAAAGATGGTTTGAAAGGATTTACATTTTCTGCACTTAGGTAAGTAATATTTTATTTATCTTTATATTGAAAGCAAATATATAAGTTAGCTTTTTTAAAAAGATAAATATTATGTGTAACTGCCATAAATATTTATTGACTAAATTTTTAAGGTCATGTCAATTTTAGAAGTCATGATAGTATATCCAAGCCTTTGTGAGTAGTTCATTAAAAGAGTAATTTATCAGATTCCCCTACCCCCTAAAAATCAGTCAATTGACTCCTACTTTTTGGACCCATTGTTTTATTTATATTGTAGGGTAGAAAGACAAGAACTCTCTCCAAGGAGCTTTAACAAACAAAGCTCCACATGAACAATGAACAATTACCAAAATAGTTACATAATTGTATGGTACTGGATTATAAGTAGGACTTATGTGTTGTCAAACAGTTATTAGATTTTAAGTATTGCTAGAGTCTTTTTCTTTTACTTCATAGTCCATCTCTTATCATAGTAGTTGGCACATGTGTACGTGTGTACACACACTAACACACACACAATAAATGTGAGTTGTCACATAGTTTATTTATTTAAATTTTGCATCCATCTCTGAAATTGGTTTTTGCTCATGTAACATGATGAAGAAACCAGGGTCAGAATGTTTGACTAATTTAACTTCATATAAGTAACTCAATGTACTGACTCTACTACACTCAATGTTCTTCTTGTTTACAAATGTTCCCTGTTTTATTCTCCAAAATACATGTAATAGATACTTAGTGAAGATTAGTAGCATAGTATTTACTACAAATATTCAAGGGAAACTTTAGGATAGGCTTTAGTACTAGGAGAAGTTTTTGTAGTATTGTTTCATGAGGTTATGCTGAGGATCAAGTGAGTGTTTGCACAGTGCCTGGCAAATAAGATGTACTCAAAAACTGTCAGATATTATTATTGCTATTAATCTGATAGATGATACATGCCTTAAACTGTAGTTAAAGGATAGCTTTAGATGATTGACAGCAAAGAGGAAGAACATCAGAGTGGAAGTGAATAACATTAGCAAAAGGATGAACATTATAAACATGAAATCTGAGGCAAGAGTGAGAAAATTAACATAATTGGTAAGAAAAATTTGTATTTGAGTATATAAAGATATTTTATAGTGGATAAAGTTGAGTCAGATTATGGAAGACATAGAAGAAAAAAAAAAGACAAATTTGGATTTGCTAAGGGGACAGTAGGGAGCCACTAAAGATTTTTCAGCAGGGTAGTTAACAGTTCTTCAGAAAGATTAGTCTTGCCCTAGTATTTGGGATATTGAAAAAGAGAGAACCAGAAGATACAAAGACGAAATAATAAGGACTGGGATATGGGTACACTAGAAAGCAAAAGACACAGCTTGCAATGTAAGAAAATGAAGACCCTGTAACTGATATTTTGTTTCTTTGTCTTATCCTCCACTCCTTAATTTCAGTAAAATATTTAAAACCCACATGCCTGAAAGAAGGTATCATTAACAGAAAATCAGATGACTTGCAAGGAAACTGGTTTATGAGGAAGAAAATTGAGTCCACAGTGTGTTTAAGAATATCTTTGATGCATGCCTAGCATACATGAAGCCCTGAGTTAAATCCTTAGAGCTGCAAAAATAAATAAATAAAATAATAATAATAATATTTTTAGTTGGGGGAAGTGCTATGGTAGCAAAACCTTTCTAAGTTATAATACACAATAAAAATGTTTAACCTTATTTCCTAATTAAAATATAAAATTTTATTACAAAATAACTGTTTTAATTTGCTGTTGTTCTTATATTGATTATAAAGCATTCTGTTTTAACTGAGAGCTGATGACAAAAGGGTGGTTTCTCTAAAGAGAAAACTTGTTTTCCTTTGCAAAAATTCAAAATGTATCAGATATTTTTGTGTCTCTTCTTCAAATCCACTTTTAATAAAGGGCTAATTTGAACCATTTGTATTTAATTTTTTCTGTATTATAGGAAAATATTCTGGAAAAAAGTTAATTCTTGTTAGTACTCTTATTGTTAAAAAAATCATTAAATAGCTGGATGTGGTGGGACACATCTGTAATCCTATTAACTATAGAGGCTGAGGCAAGAGGATCATAAGTTCCAGGCCACCTCAGCAACTTTAGTGAGACCCTAAGCAACTTAGTGAGACCCTGTGTCAAAATAAAAAATTAAAAGGGCTGGGGATGTGTCTCAGTGTGGTTAAGTGCCCCCAAGTTCAATACCATGTACCAGTAGATACATAGATAGATAAATAGATAGATAGATAAAATTATTAAGTATTATGTGTTGTTATTGTATTTATATTGTATATCTCCTTCCATTAAACAGATTTGATTTTATTTCCAATTTTTCACATTACAAATTGATTGTTCTCAGAGATACAAAGTTGATACTCAGAATAGTACCAAAAGCCAACTATACTTTTTATTGTTAAGTTTCATTATTAAAAAAAAGATGTGGGCCAATATATATAGTCTTACAAAAAGTATTTTCTAATTCTACCTCTTTGCATTTTTAGCTGTACTGATTTTTATTGTAGACATATGCTATAAATTTATAGTATGTTAAAAATACAACATTTAATATTAATTACAAAAAGGTTGAGAAAAATGCTTGCGGTAGCCAAATTTAATATGACTTCCTAGCAATATTAATGTTTGATGAGGAAAATATATAGAGTGCCTGATATATTGGGGAATGCTCACCATTCTCAAATTTAAATGGTTACAGTCACAAACAGGCTTGAAGTAATTACTCTATCACGAAAACACATTGTTTCATCTGAGAAAAGCCATCCTTTACTTACAAAGTAAATATTCACAGCATACTTTATTTAATACTTCTCAATTAGACATAGCTTGAAAAGATTTAGAAAATTCAGCTTTAAGTTTAGTTTGGCACTCATTTTTTTAAGCACTCAACATGTGAAAGTCAGATAACATTCATTCATTCTAAGTTTAGTAGGCTTTTACTTTGTCCCAGGAATTGTATTAAGCCCTGGGAATACACTGGTGAATGAATCAGATATAGTCTCTGTCCTTAGAGCTTATAGTCTGGTGGGAAGACAATGTCAATTATAATTATGTCCCATGTTACAACAGAGAAGTGTAAATTGTCTCAGGAATATTTTATCCAGACCTAACTTAATCTATCCCTAAATTGTGGATAGGAGTAAATGTAAAAAAGAAAGAAAATAGCATAGTATTACTTACAGAATAGAAAAGCCCATATGTTGTGAGAGAATAGAAATTTTCTATATATTTCAGTGATTATTTCCTTTACCTTTGAGAGGGTATAGATAGATAAATAGATAGATAGATAGATAGATAAATAGATAAATAAAGGATGGGATGAAGGAGCATGTAAAATAACCTTTAAAAGGCATATAAGCGTTTAGCAAAGATGTAGGGAAGAATGATCCAGGAAAGAGGAGCAAGCATCAAGGCATTGGTTTATTTGGAGAATGGCTAGTAGTTCATTTAGCTATAAAGTATAATAAGAGCTCATACAGTGAGTGCTTTCACAGTCCTAGATAGTGTTTTAAACGGGAGGTTGTATTTAATTTAGTAGGCCATAAGGCAGTGAAAGTCTTTTGAGGATCAGAGAAGCAGCTTTAAGAAACTGCCTCTGGAATTTTGTGTAGAATGATTTGGAAATTATCTCCACATACATATAATAGTAGAAGTCATAGGAGTAAATAGAAAGAGTCAAGGACAGGAAGAAGAGCTAGTGCTGGTAGTATCTATCTGAAGATGCACTAATACCTGTTTACTCAAGTGTAAAACAAGGGAACATGGCTTGGTGATTAAGAGACAAAGCCTTCAAGTTGGATCATTCCATGTTCAAATAATTACTGACAATTTATTGACAAATTTAATATGACTTATTATAAGTGGATAATGGGTAAGATACTTATTCATGATAATTCTTATGAGAATTTTGATATCTATAATGTTCTTGTGTTTCAAATATTAAAATGATTTAACATTTGTAAAAGGCTTGGTTGGCATTGTGTCTGTTGTGTATAAATACTCAGAAAATGTTAGCTGTTACTGTGTTCACTCATTCAATATATATTAATCAAATATTTACTATATACATGCCATACACTTTACTAGACACTGAGATATACTAGCAAAGAAAATCTACATAATCTCATGGTCTACATAATCTTATGGTCAGTTCAGTGGGGGCACAGAGTATTAAAATGGTGCGTATAGTATTGGGGGTTATTGTACTGTGAGAGTACAGAGCAAGGATCACCTACTCCCCCTGACTTCAGGCAGGGACAAAATCTAAAAAAGAAGTGACCTCTAATCTGAGATAGTCAACACTATCAGAAGAGCAACAGTATTATGAAAGGTGTGAGAGCTACTGTTGCATTTATTCTAACATAGTTTTATCTGTGTTGCTGATAAATTACAGTAGTACCTATCTTAAACTCTCCCGGTACCCCCATGAGTAAGGAACAAGTTCTTTTGGACTAAGAGTGACTAAGGATTCACAGCTGACACCTGGTGGCAAATAAACCTTTTGCACACACCCCTTATCATTTGATAAACTATATGTTTTACCAAGTTTGTCCAAACAGAATGGATTCCAGTTGTTGATTGTAATAGCTTGTTCTTTCTCTCTTTTCTGAGTGCTTAAATTTTCACATTTTGTTTTTCACAGGCCCCATGTTTCAGAATTTTGGTGTAGTATTATTGATTGCATGTTTTATTATATTTTGTTCTATATTCTGCAAGTATCCTTAGGAAAGTGCAGTTAAGAAGGCTCTGAGAAAGGATAGTTCTTAAATATTATCTAATGGTAGTAACATCTGCATTGTCTTTGGAAAAATAATGTCCAGTTTTGTTGAAATAGGAATGGTGTCATATTCTGGATGTTTGATATTTTTCTGAAGAAAAATAAGTAAGTTGGAATAATATCAGGTTTTAAGATTTCCTAATGGAATAATATGAGGGTATGTGGAATCTTAACGATCTCTTATTCTCATTCTTTAGTTCCCTCTATTTTCCTAGGTGTATAAATGACCTTCTACTACTCTGCAGCTGTTTATAACTCAAAGTGACATTAGGTATAAATTTAGTTTTACTCTAAAAGAGAACCTAGTTCACTTGTATATATTAGTAGAATTTAGAGAAAAATATAATTTTTTGTTTGACTAGTAGACATAAAACTATCTGCTTCTTTTGAAAATCTTTAAGGCATGTAATAACTTAAAACAAAGGTTCCTAATTAAAGATTGCTTCATAGAAGTGTTGTGCTATGTTTTACTTAATTTGATTTTAAAATACCTGCATGTTAAATGTGACTTCAAAATTCTGAGTATTTCTCAGTATTTAAAATTTGAAAGTCTTTTTTTCTTTTAAGGATAACTAGATTATATTAATTGTGAAAATACTATTTTAAATAAGATAGTTTCCAAAATGTGTTTATGGATAAACAAAATATTTGTTTTTCTTATCGATTTTTTTTTAAATAGTGAAAAGTACCTCACATTGTTTTCTTTTCTTTAGGTTCATTGTAGGCAAGGAAGAAATTCCCACACATTCTTATTCACCAGAGGCAGCATATGCAAAAGTGGAACAAAAGAGAGAGAAACAGGAGGAAAAACCAAGAAGAATGCATATAATTTATCTAGTTAGGAAACTTGTGAATTTAATGTGAGTTCTTTATCTTGATATTTTAGCACACTATATGATATCTGTACCATGCCAAATTATTTTTGTTTTCTCTTCAGGTAACAATGTTACTTTCTTTTTTCACCAGAAACTGCTTAGAATTTTACAAAAGGCACATTATGGCAAGTAAATGTTATTCATTCTCTCTCATAGGGTAGACCATCATAGGCCTTTAAAATAGATTTGTGTGGAATTAAATACTATTCTATTTTCAAGTAGCAGGAGGCTGTGATGGGGAACTTCAGGAAACAGATTAAAACATGCTAATTGAATATGCCAACTATAGAACAGAGAAAGAAAAGTTCCTGAGAGAGATTCAAGAGATACAGAAATAATAAGGAGTAAGAATTAAGAATATTTTGTAGAACAAAAATTTACAAGGGCTCTCAGACTGAAATAAGGAATCTTTATTTTTTGTTATACAAAAGAAAAAAATCTTTATATTTTATATGTTCATTTATATTTCCAGTATAGACATTTAATAAAATAAATTTAATGATTTAAAATTGGAATATTAGTCAATAAAAGCAATCATGGTAAGATATTTTAGAGAGGGAAAAATGAGTAGGCAATATTGAAAGTTAAGAGATCAATTATAGGAAGATGAAACCCTTTAAGAAATCAGAAAACCGACCTTTGACTCTCATTTTGCCTTTTCCAGCTTAGTGACTTTTGACAAGTGATTTATTTAACTATTATGCATTTCAAAGTCTTTATCTATTAACTGGGGTTAATAATCTCTATTAAAGATTGTTGTGAGCATTAAGTGAAATAATATATGAAATTGCTTGATGTAATATAGGAGCAGAGAGTGGATGTTAAATTTTTACTGAATTTAAATATTTTGCCTTCATTTTAGCATATACTATACATAAAAGATAAGAGTAAAGATAATTGTAGATGACAGGAATAATCGTTATAGTGAACTTATTTAAAAGCAAGTTAAACCCCATTTATGTATGATATATCAAAGTACATAAATGCATTCTACTGTTGTGTATAACCAATTAAAACAAATTTAAAATTTTCAAAAGAAAATAGAGTTTGATTATGTTAGTGGAGAAAAGGAAGAGAGAATTCTCCTTAATGGGAAATGAGTTTCATGAGTGAATGATGCCTTGGGTATCAGAACTGATCAGCTCATGGCAGAACTTGTCATAGTAGATTCAGTAGGTCCTCTGGGGTGAAATCAGATACAGAATAATACAGAAGCAAAACAAATAATAAAAGAGAGGAGCAGTCCAGACGTTAACCCTTTTATTTATTTTTTTTATTTTATTTTTTTTTTAATTTTTTATTGTGGGTTGTTCAAAACATTACAAATTTCTTGATATATCATATTCCACACTTTGATTCAAGTGGGTTATGAACTCCCACCTTCACCCCATACACAGATTGCAGAATCACATCAGTTACACATCCATTGATTTACATATTGCCATACTAGTGTCTGTTGTGCTCTGCTGCCTTTCCCATCCTCCACCCTCTCCCCTCCCCACCTCTCCCCTCCCCTCCCCTCCTCTCTCTCTACCCCCTCCACTGTATAACCCTGAGGGTCTCCTTCCATTACCATGCAATTTCCCTTCTCTCTCCCTTTCCCTCCCACCTCTCATCCCTGTTAAATGTTAATCTTCTTCTCCTGCTCTTCATCCCTACTCTGATCTTAGTTACTCTCCTTATATCAAAGAAGACATTTGGCATTTGTTTTTTAGGGATTGGCTAGCTTCACTTAGCATAATCTGCTCTAATGCCATCCATTTCCCTGTAAATTCTATGATTTTGTCATTTTTTAATGCAGAGTAATACTCCATTGTGTATAAATGCCACATTTTTTTTATCCATTCGTCTATTGAAGGGCATCTAGGTTGGTTCCACAGTCTTGCTATTGTGAACTGTGCTGCTATGAACATCGATGTAGCAGTGTCCCTGTAGCATGCTCTTTTTAGGTCTTTAGGGAATAGACCAAGAAGGGGAATAGCTGGGTCAAATGGTGGCTCCATTCCCAGCTTTCCAAGAAATCTCCATACTGCTTTCCAAATTGGCTGCACCAATCTGCAGTCCCACCAGCAATGTACAAGTGTACCCTTTTCCCCACATCCTCGCCAGCACTTGTTGTTGTTTGACTTCATAATGGCTGCCAATCTTACTGGAGTGAGATGGTATCTTAGGGTGGTTTTGATTTGCATTTCTCTGACAGCTAGAGATGTTGAGCATTTTTTCATGTACTTGTTGATTGACTGTATGTCCTCCTCTGAGAAGTGTCTGTTCAGGTCCTTGGCCCATTTGTTGATTGGGTTGTTTGTTCTCTTATTGTCTAATTTTTTGAGTTCTTTGAATTCAGCAAAGTGGCAGGATATAAAATCAACACGCATAAATCAAAGGCATTCCTGTATATCAGCAACAAATCCTCTGAAATGGAAATGAGGACAACCACTCCATTCACAATATCTTCAAAAAAAATAAAATACTTGGGAATCAACCTAACAAAAGAGGTGAAAGACTTATACAATGAAAACTACAGAACCCTAAAGAGAGAAATAGAAGAAGATCTTAGAAGATGGAAAAATATACCCTGTTCATGGATAGGCAGAACTAACATCATCAAAATGGCGATATTACCAAAAGTTCTCTATAGGTTTAATGCAATGCCAATCAAAATCCCAACGGCATTTCTTGTAGAAATAGAGAAAGCAATCATGAAATTCATATGGAAAAATAAAAGACCCAGAATAGCAAAAACAATGCTAAGCAGGAAGTGTGAATCAGGCGGTATAGCGATACCAGACTTCAAACTATACTACAGAGCAATAGTAACAAAAACAGCATGGTACTGGTACCAAAACAGGCAGGTGGACCAATGGTACAGAATAGAGGACACAGAAACCAATCCACAAAACTACAACTATCTTATATTTGATAAAGGGGCTAAAAGCATGCAATGGAGGAAGGATAGCATTTTCAACAAATGGTGCTGGGAAAACTGGAAATCCATATGCAACAAAATGAAACTGAATCCCTTTCTCTCGCCATGCACAAAAGTGAATTCAAAATGGATCAAGGAGCTTGATATCAAATCAGAGACACGCCGTCTGATAGAAGAAAAAGTTGGCTAAGATCTACATTCGGTGGGGTCGGGCTCCAAATTCCTCAATAGGACACCCATAGCACAAAAGTTAATAACTAGAATCAACAAATGGGACTTACTCAAACTAAAAAGTTTTTTCTCAGCAAAAGAAACAATAAGAGAGGTAAATAGGGAGCCTACACCCTGGGAACAAATCTTTACTCCTCAGACTTTAACCCTTTTAAAAAAGTGGTTAAGGATGACAGTTTAGTAGAAATCAGCATTTAACTTCACTAGCAAAGAGAGGTTAATCATTTCTGTTCAGCTCTGGTAGCAAAGACTGAAATATCTTTGAAGAGAACTCTTAGAAGTATGAAGAGTGATGGTTTGCATGAGGCAGTCCTTCTCTAATTCACTTCTTTTTACACCTCTAGCTTTAATCACTCAACACTTCACATGACCAGATAGGTCATATCATTCTAATAACATAAGGGCTTAGGTCAGTATGAACTGTTGCTGTCACCTTTGACTAGAAAAGGCTGCATATATAATCCAGCTGCAGTTCAGAAATGAATTTCTGAGAAGACCTCACTAATCAATTTGTTAAATGGGATTAGAAAGGTGCAGAGCCAGAACTTTATTCTGTAAGTTTTTATTATCAATGGGAAAGTGTTTATATGTTTCAACCATGGAAATAATTAACTAGTCTGAAAGAAGTGATAAGGACTACTTCTTTTGGAACATGACTCTTAGAGAGAAAGGAAATTGCTGACCCATGTTAGTCTACTTACTTCTTTACACCAAGGGTGAATAAATAATCCTACAGTAATACATCAAATAATTAAAATGAGTATGTTCTGAACAGTTCTCTCAACAGAAATGTTTATATTAAGCACTAGAGGGATAAGTAATTTACAGTTAAATCACAAATAACCTACTTTTGAATTCCCACATGATTTTTTTTCTATATTTATTTTTAAGAAACTGCATTTTGATTCTAATACTGTATCATATTTCTTTTCCATATGTTTTCTCTCAAATATAATTAAGTATAAATTTCTGTAACTTGAGCACATTCTCATTATGATTTTTGCTCAAGTACTGGCTTCATGGATGATTTATGACCGTTACACTATGCATTAAGCCATTTAAAGCTTCCAAAGATTTGGCAGTATATAGAGATAATCTCTACATATTTTTCATAATGTGTCAAAAATACTAATACTTTTGTATTCCACATTAAGTATTTTGACTACAATCACATATTTTATACATGTGTCAAATGGTAAACACAACCAAAAAACCAAAATATTGTTATCCTTCCTTCTGTATGTCCTAAAAGAACAAAATTTACATACATTTAGAAAAAGTGGAGATATTTTTTCTTTTTTTTCCTTAGAAAGTTTTAAGCAGATCTACAAATATACACATGTGTACATACATATTTTAATTATGATTAGTTTAGTTTTATTTTTCTTGATTTAATTTCAGATGCAAGCATGGACCAAGGCATAGATGTTGCAAACACTATGAAGATAATTGTATCTCTTATTGCATTAAAGTAAGTATATTAATATATCTACTTTCTTATTGGGTAAAATATGTAAAAATAACTTAGGGAATAATTTCCAAGTAAATGGAAAATTTGACATTAATAATTACTAACATTCTTTGCATTTGACTAGAAAGTAAGAAAAACATACGAGAATAGGTAATGATATTTAATATTTTAATATTTACTTCCTTAATTAAACAATTTTAAAATTAGCTTATCTTGGGCTAGAGGTGTAGCTCAGTGGTAGAGCACTTGCATATGGGAGGCCCCGGATTTGATCCCTAGCACTGCAAAAAAAAAAAAAAAAAAAAAAAAAAATTAACTCATCTAAAACTTATGAGGTAAAAAAGATGATGAGGTAAAAATAACAAGAAAAAAGAAAAATTATTAAAATGTGTACTTGGTAATATATACTTATTAGAAGTATATCCTAGAACAGGTCCTTGAACTGTATAATTTGCTATCTGGATCAGTTTGTATACACTGTGTACTATCTGATACAATGGTATTTTGTTTTGAACTTATAAATCTATTACATTTTTAAAAGGCATCAAGCTAATTGGATCATGTCCTCAGTTGCTCTACGTTAAGAAAGTTAGCTATGTCCACTGGTGTAATTAATTCCCTACTGCCTACTATGCTTGTGCAATAGTTTAAAACTACTCCCTACTTGCCACCTCCATTTTCCCATCACTACCACCTCTTGGAAGAAAGTTACTTACCATTGCAGTTAGCCTGGCACAGGGAACACCACCTACAGCAAGTTCCCTAGTTTTGCATGGTGCTCTTAATAATTCTGATGTTTTTAAAAGTTGATGTTGTTTCTTGCAAGGTCCAATCCCCATTTGCTGATGATGAGAAGAGCTGAATTGCATAACACCCCAAAAGATAGTTTCCTTATGGTTCCTGCAGAAAAACTGTCTGCCTCACATCAGTGCTTATGAATGTGAATGAATGCCCTCTGGCCCATCCTTGACAATGCTGTTGACCTGAGCCCATACTTACCTTCAGAATCCCAAAAGATATGACCAGGAGTAAAAGCAGTAGAATATATTTTCAGTGCACTGTGGTTTTTGATACATTCTTTACAAATTTGATTTCCTTGCCACACTTATAAAGTGAAGAAAAAAAAATGAGATAGCATTACTGGCAGTCTCAGAACCTGCTATCATCTCCTGAAGGTTATTCTTTCCAACTAAGCATGACTGTAGTTCAAGGGGAGAATTCAGGAGAGGAACTGAGAGAAGCATTCTGATTGAATCAGAGAGGTATTTTGAGAAATTTGGAGTTGGGAAAGTTGATATTAAATTTTTTTTGAGAAAATAAGTGACAATTACCAAGCAGTGATTCTTTCAAATGTGTACTAATATTATAATATTTGATAATTTATGTATAAGTTGGAATATTATATCCATGAAGGTAAAACTCTTTGGAGACTTGTGGATGAGGCATTTACACCATGAATACAGTAAAAGTTTTTGAGAGTGAACCTCATTGTTCCACAAAGATAGTAAAACAACATATTAAATCATATCCCTGAGTAAATATTAATATTAATTAATTAATATTCATATTAACTATATTTTACTCAATTCACCATACTCTTCTTACCCTCTTCTTTGTTGGTTCACCTTTTGGTACTTACAAACTCTTTAATGCCTCTGTGCTTGGCTGTCTGAAATGTTTTTCTCATACTACTTCTTCTCTTTGGGGTCTACTTAAGAGTCACATTCTCAGTAGCCTTCCTTTACCACTTAATGTAAAATAGACTGTTATTTTATGCTCATTTGTTTCCTTACATATTTTCTCTTTTTATAGCAAGCATGAGAAACTCCATGAAAGTCAGAAGCTTTTATATCTTTTTTTGCCACTGCATCCTCAGCATCTAGTGTAATGCTTGGCACATAGTAGATGTTCAGCAAATATTTTCTGAATATACAAAAGGGTGGATGAGTGGATTTTCAAAAAAATTATTTTTTTAATTTTAATTTTTTTGGAAATAGCATCAGAAGATTGTCATGTGATTGTGATCCCTGAATCCCTAGGTTAACATTATAAGATTATCAATGACAAAATAAAGGCATGACCATTTTATGCATTAAACAAATACTAGGCACTTTCAATGAAGAAAATGCATGATAATTCACAGTAATTGATCTACTAATTTACTTTCCATGTTTCAAACAGGTATTAGGTAGGCTCAAGTAAATTAACCGATACTTCTTCATACTAATTCAATGTTTTCTAGAAAAGAAAGTTACAATCTGGAAAATACAAATCTGAGTTTTGGAATTAAGGAAGCAAGGCTAGGAATGCAGATATGTTCCCTTGCCAGTTGGGGTGAGAAGCGAAGGGGATGGGAGACCATACTACAATGTATTATCAAGTTTAGTTTAGTATGTCTTTTTGAGAGGAAGGGTACTGGGGATTGAACCCAGGAATGATCTACCACTAAGCTACATCCCCAGCTCTTTTATTTATTTATTTTTTAATTTTGAGACAGGGTCTCCCCAAATTTCTAAGGCCAGCCTACAACTTCCAATCCTCCTGCTTCAGACTGGGATGACAAGTTTGCGCCACTATGCCTGGCTTTAGTTTAGGATATCTCAAAATGACCATCCATTCCCTAGCAATGTTTTAGTCTGATGCACATGAGCACAGGAATAAAATACACAGACACAATTATATATTCCCTAGGATATTCTTTTAATCTGATCATTGAAAAAATTTTGTACCAAAGGTCTAAAGAAATAATAAAAAATTTTTATCAAGAGAATCCTTACTAGTACTAATGATTAAGAACAATTTTCTGTTAAAATTCCCAGAAGCATTTGGTTTTGGGAGACATTTCTTTTTAATTCCAGTGCTTTTGTTTCTTAAACTCATTTGTGGTTTAGAAATTTAAAATACTGATTATGGTCAACAAAATGTCAAGAAATGGATTTTTGGTGCATAGTCAAGTTTGGCCAGTTTATGAGACTTTTAAAATCTTTTTAAATCAAATAAAATATACTCACTCCAAGATTTCACTCTTATTTTTAAGACACTTATTTTAAAATTATTATTTGAGAGTTTAAGGCTTTGTTTTTAAATTTTCTGTGATATTAAATATTTATGAGTTTGACTTTGCTTCTGAGATGGTAAAAATCATATTTTATCAAACTTCAAAAGTTGGTTGTAAATCAGTTTTCTTCCCAATTTTCTATAGGGTTTCATCAGAATGTTTAGCGTGGGATACTTGATCCAGTGCTGCCTGCGAATCCCCTCTGCATTTAGGCATCTGTTTACAAAGCCATCCCGGCTACTTTCTCTCTTCTACAATAAAGAAAACTTCCAGCTTGGAGCTTTTCTTGGTTCTTTTGTTAGTATATACAAGGTAAGATTTTTAAGAAGAGAAAAGAAAAATGTGATAATAAACAACATGGTTATTTTAAGAATGAAATATGGCTTTAATTCAACTATCATTTTATTTAATACTTATTTTCAGCATATTCATAAATATATTGACACCAAATATACAGTATATTTAGAAATATCTTCTTTTAGAATGATATTTAACATGCTTGAATATGGGAACACACTCTCATTTACATATAATATTACAGTTACCAAAGATTTCTTTTTCTTTTTGAATGCATTGACAATGTGAATTTCTTGATATTTCCAGTGTCAAAAATGATTATATAGCTGGTCTGTGGTTTTTAATTACATTTACTACTTTTATTAATTTATACATATTTCAGACCCTTCTAGCTGATATCAATACTTGACTGAATCCATAAAGATTTTCTATTATAACACATAAACAATCTTATTTTCACTCTGTATATACTCACTCTTCTTATTATTGTCACAAATTATAAGAGTTAACATTCTTCTACCTCTTTCTGTATATTCCTATAAATGTACACAAAGGTATATAAACCCACACCTAAACCCATGTACAAAGATAATTCTTGACACAGTACTTTCAGCTTTAAGTAATGAATTGCCTTTTGGTTAATGGGAATTACTAATATATTAATCATATTACTGACCTATTTTATTAGATATCTAAAATTTAAATTCAAAACCTAAATATATTCTAAATTATAAAGTATGTTAAAGATGATTTAAGTACTCATTTATACATATATTATGTATATATTTTTTCTTTGAAAAAATTAATGCTGGGAAAATTGAAATTGAGTTAATTTATTATAAATAAAATGGTTATGTATCATTTTAAGGAAAAGTTTGCTCATAAAAGGTAGGTGGGAAAAAGTATTTTGTAATGGAAAAGAGTAACCAACTATAGATGAACTCTAAATAATCACTTGTTATGAAATCTTAACTAATACTAAAGAATATTCAATATGGTTTGACTAGGAAGCATTACTAATTTCTTTGAGCATGCAAGAGTTAAGGATAAATTACTGGTAATTACATGTTTATATTCACATTCTTTTTAATTTCTCATGTTATAATATTTGTATTTATTCTTAACAAAAACTCATAAATGTTTACACATGTATTATTTACAACATTTTTAGTGCTAGGTTGATTATTCTCTCCCATCTAGTCTATCTTAATGTGCATTGTGTTTTATTTTGCTTTTTGATTTTCATTTCTTATACTATTTATTTGCTTATTTGTAAATACAAACTAAAGTCATTAAACTAAAGAAAATGAAACTGAACCAAAAGATCTCATGGAATATACTCACTTTTTGTATTCTAAAGCCATATGCGAGTTTTAAAAACAAATTTTCCATGCCACTAGGATCTCTATAATATTGTAACTATTATAAAATAATAAACTTTTTAATTTCTGTTCTTTGGTGAACTGACCCTTTATCCATCCATCTGTTGACAGACCAGGACTACTTTCTTACTTAGCTATTATGAATTGTGTTGCTGTAAACATGAGTATTACTATAGTACGCTGACTAATTCTTTTAAAAAAAATCCCAATGAGTGGTGTAGCTGGGTCATATGGTAATTCTATACTTAGTCTTTTGAGCAACCTCCATACTGATTTCTGCAGTGGTTATATTAATTTGTAATCACATCAGCAGTATACAAGAGTTCTTTTTCTCCCACATTCTTTCTAGCATTTATAATTACTTGTATTTTTGATGATAGCCACTCAAATTGGAGTGAGGTGAATTCTTGATGTAGTTTTGATTTGCATTTCCCTGATTGCTAGAATATTGGACATTTTTTCATGTATTTGTTGGGCATTGAATTTCTTATTTTGAGAACTGTTTAGTTCATTTGTCCATTTATTAATTAGTTTATTTGTGTGTGTGTAAATGTGTGTCTGTGTTAAGATTTTTGAGTTCTTTATATATTTCAGTTATTAATCCCTTGTGGGAAGAGTGACCAGCAAAGATTTTTTTCCCATTCTGTAGCTCTTGTCTTTCCCACTCTTTCTTCCTTTGCTAAGCAGAAGTGTTTTAACTTGATGCCATACCATTTATTAATTCAATAAAAATGATATGTAATTTCTTATTAGAGTCTATCTAGAACTATGACTTTATAACAGATTGTTTTTCATAATATTTCCAATCTTTGTAGTCAGTTTAATTTACATAAGACCACAAGTTTGTCTCCAGGGTCATCTAATGAATCATCTAGTGAAACACATTAATGGTTGTTGTTTTCATGCAATCATGCAATTTTATTTTTAGAAATAACTGAAGTCATTATATTTTTTCCCCCTCAATACAGGGTACTAGTTGCTTTCTGCGTTGGATCAGAAACCTGGATGATGAACTACATGCTATTATAGCTGGTAAAGCAATAATTAAAAGAGAATGATTACAATTTTATCAATCAGTGACAAGAATAAATGGGAAATAGCTTCCAAATTCATCTAATTTTTATGTATCTTCTTTTATCTATTGTAATAGAATCCCTCCCAAGACACTCACCCAAATATTTTGTCTGTGAGCTAAACATATCCGCCACTCTGGCCATTTATTGTTCTATATTGCTTGCAATATAATGACTTGGATCTGCCTACGACAGGCTAGAAATTTAAAGAATGTATCAGAAAAGTACATAAAGACTTAAAATCTTATATAAGTGATTAATGGCAGTTTAAGTAGATTTTTTTAAATTTTATTTTTGCCAATGGAAAATGACATATTTTAATAATATTTGAAAGGAACTTTAATCATTTTATAGAAATGAAAAATAGATATTATTTTCTAAACTGAAATATATGTAGTTCTTAAGTGAGATTTTTTTTCAGATATTTATTAGTAATAATCCTACTATTAGTATTTTCACATCCCACCCCTGTAGAAAAGTGTGACCCTAGCACAAAAATAAAATAATTTGAGCTGCTAGGAAAATAGATGAATAAACACTCCCACTTAAGATCAGAGATACCAATAGCCTTTAAAAAGTTATTTTAAAAATGTTGTATTTACCAAAAAAGACTACTGTTTTAAGCAGTAGTTGTCACACATAAATCAGAACTGTTTGTTCCTAATTCTGAAATTTAATTTCTTTAATCTAGAATATGTGATAAGAACTCACTCCATTTTAATGTCATCAAGTGTATTTTTGTCCTTAATTGTGTTGTATCTAGAAGCAATGCTGGAGTGAGTTAATTCTGAACTATTTGAATAAATTAACATTTCTGATGACTTAATAGCAAAGAAATACTTTGTAATCTTAACAGTTTTTTCATATTTGTTTTTTCAGGATTTTTGGCGGGTATATCAATGATGTTTTATAAAAGCACAACAATTTCCATGTATTTAGCTTCCAAACTGGTAGAGGTAAGCAAACAATTTTATGCATGAACAGTTCCAGAGGATATAAAGCTTTTTTAAAAAAAAAAAAAAAACTTCTGACTGCTTTAAGCACAAATATATAACTTCACTACCAAAGCAAATTCTAATTCTTTAAAAGTATTTACAGTCATTTTCTCCATGTGCTATTTTCAAATATACACAAATGTAGAAAGAATACTGTAATAATTAACCTTTGTGTATCCATCATGCAAAATCAACAATTCTCAGTTTTTGGCTAATCTCTTTTCATCTATACTCCTCAACTCTCAGGTACTGAATTAACTTAAAGCAAATCCCAGACATTGTATCATTTTGTCCTATTAAAAACTCAGGATAGATTTCTTAAAAGTGAATCAACATTATCATACAAGTAGAACCACAATACTATAATCCTACATTTCAAAAAACTTAATATTATCATATATCTAATTAGTTTCTTCTTCACTGATTATCTTATAAATATTTTTATGCGATATCTTTAGTTGAATCAAAAATGCAGTCTCTTAATTTATGATAGTTATTTTTTTCCTCCTTCTTTTTCCATTTTTTTTTAATCTCTTGCCATTGATTTGTTGAAAATCTAGATCATTAGTTCATGGAATTTCCCACATTTTGGATTTTACTGATTGAATTCTCACTGATGTTATTTATTATGTTTATCTCAAATATTTCCTATAAATTGTTAAGTAGATCTAAAGGCTTAATCAAATTCAAGTTCAAGTTTTAGAAGTGAGGGTAAGTGGCAGAAGTACTTTACATGTTCTTTGTGGATAAACTTCCCATTCATTGTATCACATTAAAAGTTACAAAAATGTCTGGTTGTCTTTCTATTGATACTAAATTGACTAATGGGTCCAGGTATACACAGAGCCTATGTAAGATTTCCAATAGCCTTTCACCTCATAGTTTTACCAGCCATACATGATCATTACTGGAGTTCATTATTTCATTAAGTGTTGCAAAATTGTGATAACCTGTTGTTACTTCTACTGTATTCATTAGCAAGAATGTTTCTAAAAAAAAAAAAAAATCTTTCCCATTTTAAGTATTTGGCTACTCTGAAATAGTTTGTTCAGGAAATGAAGATAAAATGCTTGCTTACTTTTCTTTATCAGTGTTCAGAATGAGTTAGTACCTTAGCATTCTGCCTAAGTGAGTTGCGTATCTGATTTGTTTTAACCCAGTACATTCATTATGCTCAAGTTGTCCCAGTCTTTGGCCTGGAGAGCCTCCTTAAGTTGACTCCTGTTTGTTTTGACATATGCCATTATTTTTTATCCCTTTCTTGATTTTTAAAATATCTTTTTAACAAGATATTTTAGGCTCATCTGAGACATTTTCTGTCTTAGACATTGAATCAGCTTTTTCCCCCAATGGTTCCTAATTTCTTTTACTGGGAAAAGATATTCAGAGGCTTCAACTAGCGTTTTTGCCCAGGTTGAGCATTGTTTCTTGGTTTTTCCAGTAAACACACCTAGAGAATCTTTTCTTCCTCCTTTCTTTTTAGAGAGAGAGAAAATATGTTTGGAGTTTATTGCTATTTCCATGTAAAAGTTAAGATTATATATTTTATTTTACTTGTTAGACGTTTATAAAGTTTTATCTCACGCTGAAAATCTGTGCTCCTAATGACATTAAAAAAATACATATTTGCTTTTCCCAAGTGTGTTAGTGTGCATGTATGGGTGCATTCATGAGGAGCAAGTGGGGGGGGCACAGATATGCATGGAGTGGGGGAGAGGGAGAGAGAAAGGAAAGAAAGGAGAGAAGAGAGGAGGAGAAGAAGAACAACAGGGGAAGAAGAGGAGAGAAAGTATACATAACGAAATTAGAGAGACAGGCAGAAGCTAGTATTTTAAAACCTGGGATAAAGAATTTGGTTGTTTTCTCAGTTCATGTCTAAGCATGAAATGACATGATTTAATTCACATTTTTAAGATAACCACTCTGGATATTATATGGAGAGTATTTTAAAGGGAGGCAAATGATAGAACCAGGAGTATCATCTTCAAATCCAGACTTGAAACCCCTGTTTGTTTCAATTTCATGCCTAGAGTTTTGGAGTAAAGGCTTGGAGAACAAAGTCTTTAGCAGAAGATGTTGGCTCATTTCAGAATAGAAGGTGTAGGGATAGAAAGAAGTACACAGATATGGTTTGTTTGGTAATAGAGATGATAAGAATTGCTAATGGAACAGAGAAGAAAAGGAAGAAATATTAACTAACTCCTGGATAGCAAATTATATTCTTGGATACAGGAGGAAGCCAGTGTTGAGATCCAGCTTGTAACAGGTGTTTTACAGCTGCTTCCTAAGTGACTAGTTTTTTAAGCCAAGCAACGGTATCACTTTGTATCTTATGTCATCAGGCATATCTTATCTTGGAAAAACAAACTGTCATGTAAAGTGTACTGACAAGGAATTTTTAAAAGAAAATGAAAAATTTATGATTATTTATGCTTTTTGTGAAATTAGTTAAAATGGTGTAATAGGCAATTTTTTTTCTATGATTGAAATAAATTTTATATTAAAAGCTTTCAAAATGATGGCCAGCATTATGACTGCTTATCTTGTTTCTTAAGTACATTGTAACTTTGTACATATCCTATGCTTTTTATATATCCCAACCCCTATTAATACGTTACATATATTTACTGAAGCCAGCCTCAGCAATTCTGTGAAGTGCTAAGCAACCAGTGAGACCCTGTCTCTAAATAAAATACAAAAATTGGGCTGCTTTATTATTTTCATCACTCATTTTACTTTAACTTTTTTTGTATACTAGAAAGCCCTTTCTATGAATTTTCCCTTGTTCTAGACATGTGTATTTGTTGGTAGTGTTCTCTCTCTCTCTCTCTCTCTCTCTCTCTCTCTCTCTCTCAGAGATATACTTTCATGCCATTTTTCTTTTATCTAATTGTTGATCCCATGCATCTTTAAAATGGTACAATTAAAAGTGTTGTATGCTGACTAGTGCTAGTTTGTCAACCATTTATTACCTCTCCATGACAAGCATGTCAAGGTAAGTAAAGTAATACAGTAATACAGAGTAGGCATTGGAAGAGCTCCCTCCCCGCCGCTGCCATTTTTTTTCCCCTCAGTACTGGGGATTGAACTCAAGGGAGAGCTACCACTGAGCTGTATCTATAGCCTTATTTTTAGTTTTTATTTTTGATATCAGATCTTGCTAAGTTGCCCAGGCTAGCCTCCAACTTGTGATCCTCCTGCCTCAGCCTTCTGAGTGTCTAGGCTTACAGGCATGTACCATCATGCTTGGCAACACTGGGGAACTTTTACAGCTATTTGACAGAGTAATGTTGTCTTCGAGTCTCAGAGTGCAAGTATGGTTCAATTCTGTATTTCTAAAATTTATTTTTTTCTATTAAGTCATTTTATTATATCATAAATGCCATCAATCCATAGCAATTATAAATTCACTGCAAATGGTTAGGAGAACATTACTTAAATTTTGTCTTTCTAATAAGTCTTCTTGGTCCTCTATCCCAGAGGAGTGGTTGCTCCCTACTTTGGGGAGCCAAATAATATGTAATATATAACTCTTTTCTAGCTCTCATCATAGTGCATTAATGATATTTTATGCATTATGTTTTGTCCATTTCTAAATCCCTTGTTCCTAGCATTGTGTTCAGCATACAGTTGACACCATTAATGTTTACTGCCTGAACAAAGGAAGGAACAGATCTAATGAAGAAGGGAGGACTTATTTTAAAAAGCATTGAAGAATAAGTGACATAAAAGTAGTAGCAATAAAGTGCTATTGAATTTCACAGAAAATTATTGCTGCTTGAAGCTAGAGTTTAGAGTGAGGAATGAAAGAAAGGGAAGGGCTGACACTTATTGTTGTCACAGAAGATATACCATGATTTGAGCTCTGAAAGAGTTAGGATTCAGATAAATAGAAAACAGCTGTAGGTAGATAGAGGGCATATATCATTCAACTATATTGTTAGTGCTTTTTTAATGTTTTTAATATAACTCTTGCATTATGCTTATTTTGCAGACAATGTATTTCAAAGGCATTGAAGCAGGGAAGGTTCCCTATTTTCCTCATGCAGATACTATTATCTATTCCATCTCTACAGCAATTTGTTTCCAGGCAGTAAGTATAGCTTTTGAAATGAGAAATAGAAATTTCTGTTTATAATTTACATTAAGCCAGAGGGGGAAAAATAAAAGCCTGAGAACATAACATTACGTTTTATACTTTTTGTTTTTTCAGCAAGATAGCTTGTATGTTTCAAATCATTAAACGTTAACTTAGTGGGCCAGACACTATTTTATGAACAGATCAATTTTTAGGTTTAAAAAGTGTGCAATCTGTAGGTAAATCCTTATTCCAGAACCAAGGTTAGAATGCCCCCAATTTAATTATCCTTCCTGAAGAAAAAAAATACCACGGGTAAAATGTGAATTATTGCACTTCCCCAGCATTACTCAGAGAATGGGGAGGGGGAAAGAACTAGTTTAGCAGAAGCATTATTTCATCTTTTTAAGTCTGTTATTATTATTATGGATGTTAATGGTTTAAAGGGCTGTTGCAAAATTTTAGGGAGAGCTTTTATTTGCGCTTTATTATAGGAATGCTGATATATTAATAAACTCATTAAAATCAGTGAAGTGTCAGCTAGATAGCTATCTAATGGGTATTCAGTAAATGCTTCCTGATAATAATAAATTACTCAATCATTATTCCCAAAGCCGCATTTCTATTTGAAGGCATATTAATAAATATTCTTCAAAGATATTGACTTAAATATGTTGTTATTATTTTTATCACTATCATTTAAAAAATACAATGAGCAATAAAGAGATAAAAAGTATTGCTCAAGACTTCAGATGTTTGTATTTACTTAAAAAAAAATCTCAAATTGAATAATCTTAGGCTGTCATGGAAGTTCAGACCTTGCGACCGTCTTACTGGAAGTTCCTTTTAAGGCTCACCAAGGGCAGGTAAGGAAAAAAAAATCTATAAAAAGATTATCAATCTCTGTCTCCTTCAAGGAATATTCTTTCAGTGGCAAAGTTGGTATTTATATATAAATCAAAAATGACCAAATTAATAAGAAATATTGAATGATCATTATTCTGACTATTCTTATAATACTCTAGATATTTTAAAAGTTCTGGATTAATATCCTGTTGCTTTGCTGCCTGATAATTAGTAGCTCCATAAATACTTTAGCCTACCTTTTCCAATCTATAATGATGTCTTCTTTTTGATTAAAAATATTAAACAGATTCATTAAAAGGGTTCATCTCTAATAATTCATTGGTTTCAGTAACCATCTTCTATTGCCTGATATTTTAAGTTTACTTTCCTTTTTTCTCCTTCTTTTCCTCTTCCTCCTTCTAGTCCTTGTTCTTGTTCTTCCCCTAATCTAAATTTGATTGTTTGGGAGAAAGCTGGACCTAATAGGAAGAGCATGAGCTTTGGAATCCTGGAGACCTGAGTGTGACTCCAGCTTTGGTACCTTTAACGATTTTTCTGTGGGAAATTTATTTGCCCTCATGAACCTAATGTTCTTTCTCTTTGTAATGAAGCAATTACACATACTGTCTTAATCTGTTTTATGTAGCTATAACAATACCTGGTGCTGGATTACATATGTAGAAAAAGAGGTTTGTTTGGCTCATGATTTTAGTAGCTGACAGGTACAAATAGCATGGTGCTGGCATTTTTGGTAAGGACCATCAGGCTATATCACAATGTGGTGGAGAAGCAGAAAGGGAACTGGTGACATGACAAGCATGTGATTTGGCCTTACTTTATAACAACTTATTCTTGGGGAAACTAATTCACTCCTACAGAACCCAATCCATTCAGTAAGGCTAGCATTAAACCATTCATGAGAGTGGAGTTCCCATCTCTTAATTATACTTCACTAGGCCATACCTCTTAAAGGTTCTACTACTGCCTCAACATCACCACACTTAGACTAAGTTTCTAGCATACTAACCATTAGGGGGCAAACCATATCCAAAGCATATCCTATGCATTGTATGGTTGTGGGAAAATTAAGATTTCATAGTAGTGCTTAGCACTTACTAGGCACTCACTAAATCATAGCTGCTATTAATTTTACTATCATTAAGATTAATATAAATGCTAACATAGTACATACCATGTCCCAGATATAGTTTCAAGATATACACATATAACACATATATAAACTTATTCCTTAAAATAATTTAATCATATAAGTGCTATCATCTCCCTAGTTTTATATTTGAGAAAACTGAGAATCAGGAATGTTAGATAGAGTGACACAGCTACCAAGCAAAAGAGCTGGGGGATAAGCCAGACATTCTGGCTTCAGAATTCTTCTCAGCCATGACATTATGTATCTTTCATACTATTATTGTTTCATCAAATTTTTTGGGTGTTTAGTTTTTTTGAAAATTAATGGTTTTACCTAGTAATTATTTTGGAAGGGAACTTACTTTACTTTGGAAAAGAAGTAAAAGTCACATTTAATGGCTCTTGAAATATTGATGCTGGCCAGTGATTCAAAATTAACTTCATTTTGCCATCTCCTTCAGACAGGAAAAACTTGTGAAAAGACACTGAGACACAAAAAGTCCATCCTGTGCATTAGTTAAATGTGTCTTTTAAAAGCATTTCTTAAGTTAGGTGATGTATAACACGAAGATATATTTTATTCTTTTATATCTGTTAGAAATTGGAAGGCCTGATGCTGTTTGCTTTTTAGTCGTTTAATATTTTCATTTTTGGATGTATTTTTATAGGACATTATGTTCTCAATTATGAGAGAAATTATATCTAACACTTTTGTCTCATTGGTAAATGTTAGCTCATTCATTGTTTTCTTAATTTCCTCTGATTTCATTCATCAGAAAAATGAACCTAATTTTCTATTTGACATACTTAAGTGGAAAGAAGTCTAGAAGGGTTTGAAATAACGTAATATGAATGGTTTCAGATTGGGGGATTATCTCTTTAAATATTAGACAGTGAATCTTGGTTAGCCCTTTCTGTTTTCCCATTCCATGAAAACTAAGTCAAATAAAGGAAATAATTTTATTTTATAAACTTCCTTAAATACTTCTTCATTGTTTCTTCTTTTTTACAGATTTGCTGTCATGAATCGAAAAGCCCTGGATGTTTTTGGTACTGGTGCATCTAAACACTTTCAGGGTTTCGTCCCCAGATTGGATCCAAGATATACAGTTGTAAAACCGGAGTTGCCGATAGAGTTTTCATGAAGATGGCTATAATTTATTAATGTGACTATATTTCATCATTATATCCTGAAGAGTTAATTATGTTGAATACAAAGAAGGGGGCCCAGCTCGAACTTCAGTGTTATTTCAATGAGAGAGCTTTTTTGTTTTGTTTTGTTTTTCTTACCAATCAGAAATACAGAAGCTTTTTAGGAAGGTGTTGCTTAATAATTAAGCTTCCTCTGTAGCCAGAATCTGATTCTGGATCACTGTAGTGGTTGACATTGTGATATATTATTGATTAAATTATGTCCACAAATGATATTGAATTATCTATATAGAAATGTAATAACAAGAGTACACTTAAAATTACTTAAAAGAGTCTTTAGTTCATTCCAATATAATTCTTGGTTTAAACTAAGAATATTTCTCATTTTAGGATTTACAAAGGATCACGGGTACGTGGATTTGGTCTGTGATTATTTTTAAGTTTTGAATTGGTATTTGTAGTAGTAGAATGTTATAGATTTGAAGGAATTCTCCATATACAATGCTGCTTTAGTATAGAGCAATGTAATTGGAGAAAAGTGGCCATTCTTACTTCAGGGATGCAAAGATGGGTTTTATACCATTGGGGTAAATGTCGTGGTATCCATGCTCTTTTTTCAACTAGTAACACCATCTCTCTCCATGACCAGTAGGAGGGCTGTTTGGCAGCCCAGTAAACCTACATACTAATGGCAGGTTAGGAACAAATGAAAATTTACACATGTGTTTTAATCTTTTACAATAGCATTACACTTGAATATTTAAAAACAAATATTTAAAAACAAATCTTTTAAACCTCCTATAGATATATTGTGTTTGTTGTCATTTATAGAGGCTGAATTGTTTATAACTCAGTTTGTATGCCATTGTTTTAGAAAGGATCAAAATCCTGTGGAACAAAAGAAGTTTTGCGAAGTTTAGCAGTGTTTTACCCTGTCAACTGTTTCACTTAGATAATAGATGTTTTACAACTAAAACAACATAAAATTCCAGCAGTTGTTAAAAAGTTTTTCATCACTAATTTAATTCATGTTCCTCAACTTCATTTTCAGAAACCACTGTCATCCTTTTTACTCTAGAATAAAGAAGTGACAAAATGTAGTCACTTTCTCTTGATGAAAGTAATTCAGGACAACTGATGAACATATGATTGCTATTTACAGTTTTTCAGGGAAAAGTTTTACTTTTCTAAGATAATAAAAGGCTTAAAGTGATTGTGATATCTACAGGGAATGTAAAATCTAGGAGTGATGCTATTTTTGGAATATAATTTTGTTACTAAAATGTTTTTAGGCCATGGTAAATCATGCAGTAGAATTTGTGTTACAAAAGGGATTTTTATCCAGAGGTTAAAAATGCATAATCCCCAATATTAAATTTTATTAAGCCTTGTATTACTTCTGTTTTTATGTCATCCTGTCTTTTGTTGTTATAACAAATTGAAACCCAACAAAAAGGTAGATTCTAGTACTGTGGTAACACGAGAGTCACTTTAGTTGGGTCAAAATTTTTCATTGTGAATAACTTTTTAGAGTAGACTTGCCATTTGGCAATACTGGTAAGGGATCATTTTGGTTTCAGACTTCAAAATTGATTAATGTAGTTTTAAGTTTTTATTGACTGGAATCAAAATGATGATTGGTACTATGTTTACTTTTTAAACATGAAGTATTAAAGCACTGAGAAGCACCAGCATGCACCTCATTTTCCCTGTTCAGAATTTATGTTTGTTATATTTTTCCTATCAGGTTAAACATAGACATTTAAATCCATAAGTTGTTATTTTCATTGCCATTAAAAAGCTATCATATTGAAAAACACATTCTATTGAAATTTTCTATGATTGTTTAGCAGAATTTTGCTGGTTAAGGTGCATTTCTGCAATATATATGTATATGTATACATATATCAACAAATTGCAATCATATTTTTATTTTATATAAAATGTAAAACAAAATAACCATCCTGAAGCAGAATATAGTGGTGAATGTATAGATTGAATGAATGGTTAACTAATTTGCAGTGGGGAATCAAGAATCAAGAAGTCCAGTTTGATTCCACTATGGCAGATTGAAAAGTATACTTGTTCAAGCAAACACAAAGAAACTTTGTGTTCCTGAAGACAATTAAAATGTCTTTCTACCTCTAACTAATCAGGTATTGATTGACAATGTATTGGCATCTTAAATAAAGTCAAATAGACCTCTCCATTCCAAAATATGTTTTTATTTTTAAAATCATTTAAATTCTCAAGAAATCATGTCCAAGTAAATTTCTACCAGACTGATAGTAGTAAACAAATATATGCCTGTTAGTCTTTCCAATATCTTTACGTAGAGTGAAGAACAGTGCATCTGGAGCAGTAGTAAATTGGTCGTTTCATTGCTATTCCCCGTATTAGTAAAATCCTATAACTTGTACCAACTAAGTAAAGATTGAGGTTGCAAGATAGTTGTCTTGAATCTGTTAGATTCGTACAACTTTTTCATCAGATAGTTTTTGTGTCCATTCTGAAACATTTCTGAAAGAATATCTTTGGTTCTGTTATCTTTTTTTTATGAATTCTGTATTGGATTCTGTAACTTTTTTCTTGCTCTATTAACATAGATATCACTCAATTTATATCTACTTTATTATTTTTACTTTTTTTGCTATTGTTTAGTCAGTTATTTAATTTATAATTTTGTTATTCTTTACTCTCAGATTTTATAATTTACTTTTACCAAGAACAAATACGTATTTTGTGATGGAACTCACATTGGGTATTTGTCATATTTTCTGGAATACACACATCCTTGTAGATTATGTCTAGGCTAACATTTGATTTAGATGATAATGCTGACAAAAAATAAAATGTTTATGCTTGGATTTCATCTATCCCTGAGTTTCTAAATCCTTGCCAGTACATAGTTGATAAAATCAATGTCCTTAACTCTCAAGGAATTTGGCTTGTGTTGCAGTCTCTCCTAGTAGTGGTGGCTGAGTAACTTCCTGGCAGGTCTATGAAGAGTCTGTCCACTGGGAGCAGTGACTCAGGTGTTCTTGTATAAGAGAAGCCCTTAGCCAAAGGATTCATTGATTCTGCTTGTAATTTATTTTTATTGTTTAAGTAGCAGGTAGTTTGATGGAGCAATGAAGTTTTTCTTTGGTACTCACAGGTGAAAATATTTATTTCTTAACTGTAACCTTGTTTAGATACCTGTTTGCTGCTGCTTATCTCATCAATGTTAATTTTCTCCTTTTTTTTTTTTTGATACTGGGGATTGTACTTGGAGTGCTTTACTACTTGAGCCACACTCTCAGCCCTTTTTATATTATTTTATTTTTGGTCTCACTAAATTGCTGAGGCTGGCCTTGAACTTATGATCCACCTGCCTCAGCATACCCACCTGCTAGGATTATAGCCATGTGATAAAATGCCTAGCTGATGAAGAAACTTTTTTTTTAGTACTGGGGACTGACTAAGGCCTCACATATGCTATGCAAGTACTCTACTGCTGAGCCACCAGCCCCTCATTTTCTCTCACAGAAAATTTGGGTAACTGAAAATGAATAGCCCAAAAGTTAAAAATCATTTAAAAAGGAACAAGAAATGAATAATTCCTGTGAGGCTGGCTTTGAAGGTGATGAGTAATAAGTTGCCTTCATTGTAGAGGCATACGAGACAGTTCTTAAACTATCTTCAAGTTCCCAATCATGTGGCTTCTTTTCAATAGCCCTTCAGGGTTGGTGCTGTCTCTATATATCTTCTTGTGGAATTAACAAGGAAAGCAGGGTCAGGGACTGCAGAAACCCTGAGATCAGGGTATGGGCTTGGATTGTAGGGCTGTGTAGTATTGTGTTTCTGTTTCAAGTTGTAGCCCTAGATGACTTTGTGATAGCTGTGTGGTTATGAAAGAAGTTACTATACAGAAGTGACACTGACACTGGTTTGTGACTTCTGAAAACAGTGGAGGAGCTTGGCTATAATGTGGCCTGTATGCTAGGATTGAGCCTGTGGTCAAGAATAATATATGCCATTTTACACTGAGATAGTGACTTTTAATTGGAGAAAGGTATTCATAGCTTTAAAAAATTATCTTGTCCCTTTTCCTTCTTCTTTTCCTCCCTTTCCCAATTCTCTCCTTTTTTTTTTTTTCCTTCCCAGCCTTAGATTTTTCCCCTCAGTGCTGGGACTGCTAGGCAAGCATGCTATCACTAAGCTATTTCCCCAGCCAAACCAGACTTGGAGTCTTTATGCCTGACTTTTTGTTACCCCTTTACCTTTTTTCTCTTGCTGGTGTTATTTTGTGCTCCTCAGACTCAAGAGCTCCAGTGCAACCTTTGATGCCAGCTAGTCTAGTGGGGGTAGTTGTGGGGCCTCTGGAAATACCATGACGATGGAATAAACATTTTCGGGGACAGTGATTTTTTTAAATACAGTTCTCCATTTCTTAGGCAGGATGGAATGGAGGATAATTGCACAAATGTGGAAAGAGATGTTTCTCTGTTCATATAAGGCCTTTAACTCCAGAACAGTGTCTTACAGCCCTATAACATCACTTGACTCTGATGTCTTGTGGCTTCATTTAAGGGGCAAGAAATAATTTATTTTTCCTTTTGCTATCTTATATTTTCCCCATCTGTACTTCCTCCAAATCTGTTTGAAGTGAGATAATATATTGGACTTTATCTTTTGTCCTCGCAGATATAAAAATCCCAATAATAACCTTGGTCAGACTCAGTATCCCTTTGTGGCTTGAAAAGTAGATCTCCACAGAGTGGACCAGTGGACCTATATCATCTGAAGTTGCCCCTGCAGAACTCCCTCTCTCTTTCCTTAATTTGGACTGGTTAATTTCTGAGGCTGATTCCTTCAGTGTTGTTTAAACTTCTCTCAGTCATAAATCAGTTCCTTAAGTGAATTTTCTTCTCAGATTATTTTGGTCACCCAAGAGGGCTCTGAGGCCTTGAGAGAGGTCTAAAATGGCTTAATAAAGCAGAAGTACATTATGTGTTTCTGGTTACTATGGGATGAAGAGCCAAAATGGATGGGTGAGAAAACACTCAGCACACATTTAAAGCCTTATCTATGTCTTCCTATTTCTTTACCTCCCAAACCTGTGCTTTTCTAGAGTATCTTTATCATTTATTTCTTTAGCTTGAGTTATTTAGGAGCAAAAAGAGACATTGTTTTCCTATTTATTTCGGGGCAAATTGAAGGTGAGCTCAGAGACAGTCATCAGTCTGACTCTTCATCAGGTAAGGTAAGAGCTTTAAGGAGTGTTGAGTCTGTAAAAAGCAAACTACCTCCTTTTTTCTTCTCACCCCTCAGAGGTAAGCCAGAGGGATCTAGTCCCAGGGGGAACTTTTACATTCACATCCCTGTGGCTTCCACCACAGGCCTCCACTGCCCAACTTGGCCTACTGAAGGGACAGAGAGGAAAGGGAAGTTCATTATTGAAGTACAGGCAATGTCCTCAAGCATTGCGGTGACTATAAACCTCACTGGAGGCCAGTGATCAAAACAGGGATTGACTCATGGGTACTTTGCTCCATCAATGTGTTCAGTGTTTTGTGTCATCAAATGGCCTTGTACTGCTTAAGAAAAGATAGCAGCTATTTTCTTATTAAATTGACAATGTGTTAAAGGTAATGAGAGTTTTACATGAATAGATTTTTAAATTTTCTTCTTTTTTTCTAGTTATTTTTAAAGAATAATTTGTTATACATGACAGGAGAATGCATCACATTTCATATTAAACATACAGAGCACAATTTTTCATATCTCTGGTTGTACACAAAATATATTCACCCCATTTTTGCCTTCATATGTGTACTTAGGGTAATGATATCTATCTCATTCTACCATGTTTCCTACCCCCATGACCCCTCCCTCTCCCTCCCTCCCTTTTGCTCTATCTAGAGTTCATCTAATCCACCTATGCTCCACCCCCAACCCCATTATGAATCCACATCCTTATATCAGAGGAAACATTTGGTATTTACTTTTTTGGGGATTGGCTAACTTTACTTAGCATTATCTTCTCCAGTGCCATCCATTTACCTGCAAATGCCATAATTTTATTCTCTTTTAATGCTGAATAGTATTCTATTTTGTATATATGCCACATTTTCATTATCCATTCATCAACTGAAGGGCATCTAGGTTGGATCCACAGTTTAGATATTGTGAATTGTGCTGCTATAAACATTGATGTGGCTGTGTCCCTGTAGTATGCTGTTTTTAAGTCCTTTGGATATAGACCAAGGAGTGGGATAGCTGGGTCAAATGGTGGTTCCATTCCCGTTTTCCAAGGAATCTCCATAGTACTTTCCATATTGGCTGCACCAATTTGCAGTCCCACCAGCAGTATATGAGTATGCCTTTCCCCCCATCTTTACCAACACTTATTGTTGTTTGTATTCTTAATAGCTGCCGTTCTGACTGGAGTGAGATGAAATCTTAGAGTAGTTTTAATTTGTATTTTCTAATTGCTAGAGACATTAAACGTTTTTTCATATATTTGTTGATTGATTGAATATCATCTTTTGCGAAGTGTCTTGGCCCATTTATTGATTGGGTTATTTGGTTTTTTTGGTGTTAAAATTTTTGAGTTCTTTATGTACCCTTGCAATTAGTGCTCTATCTGATATGCGTGTGGTAAAAATTTGTTCCCAATTAGTAGGTTCTCTATTTACCTCACTGAATGTTTTTATGCTGATAAGAAGTTTTTTAGTTTGAGTCCATTCCATTTATTGATTTTTGATTTTAATTCTTTAAGTCTTATTAAGAAAGTCAGGGCCTAATTTGACATGATGGAGATTTGGGCCTGAAAGCATTTCCTGTAAAAAGTGGAACAAGACAGAGATGCCCTCTTTCACCACTTCTGTTTAACATAGTTCTTGAAATACTGGACAGAGCAATACAGATAGGATATTAAAATAGCACTATTTTAATATAGGATAGCAAAATAGCACTATTTGCCGATGATAGGATTCTATACCTAGAAGACCCAAAAAATTGCACCAGAAAACTTCTAGAACTAATAAATGAATTCAGCAAAGTAGCAGGATATAAAATTAACACCCATAAATCAAAGGCATTTCTTATATTAGTGACAAATCCTCTGAAACAGAAACAAGGAAAACTACCCCATTTACAATAGCATCACCAAAAAATAAAATACTTGGGAACAAACCTGACAAAATAGGTGAAAGACCTCTATAACAAAAACTACAGAACACTAAAGAAAGAAATTAAAGAATCCCTTAGAAGATGGAAAGATCTACCTTATTCTTGGATAGGCAGAATTAATATTGTTAAAATGACCATTCTACCAAAAGCACTATACAAATTTAATGCAATTCTAATCAAAATCCCAATGACATTCCTCATAGAAATAGAAAAAGAAGTCATGAAATTCATCTGGAAAAAATAAGAGACCCAGAATAGCTAAAGCAATTCTTAGCAAGAAGAATGAAGCAGGTGGCCTCACTATACCACACCTTAAACTATACTACAGAGCAATAGTAACCAAAACAGCATGGTATTGGCACCAAAATAGACTTGTGGACCAATGGTATAGAATAGAGACACAGAGATAAACCCACGTAACTATCTATAGTTATCTTATATTAGACAGAGATGCCAAAAACATACATTGGGGAAAAGATAGCCTCTTCAACAAATGGTGCTGGGAAAACTGGAAATCTATATGCAACAAAATGAAATTTAACCCCTATCTCTCACCTTGCACAAAATTCAAAGTGGATCAAGGACCTAGGAATTAAACCAGGGACACTGTGCCCAAATCATCTTGTTTTGAAATTTAATTTATAATGTAAAAAAGAAAGTCTTAAAAGCTACAGGAAGGAAGCAATTCTATTGCAT